AGGCTGTTTCACCATAAAATGATTCCCCCTCCCCTGGTTTCCAAATTGTACCCTTTTGAAAGGAGTCACTGTGTGCAGCCTGCACTTAAGAGTGGGGAGTTACACTCCCTGTCCTTGAGGGTAGACTATCAATATATATTATTTGGAATTCTTCTACATGACAGATTCGTCTTTTCTCTTCCATTTATTAATTTACTCAATCATTTACATATATCAATACAATCTAGTACTACTTTATTTTGTTGCTCAAATTGCTCTAGCTTTGGTCACTGGGAATTTCAGGGTATATATTTTCCATTTCTTACCTTTATGTCTCAGCATGCATATTCAACAAACACTGAGTGCCTACTGTGTGCCATGCCTTGTGCTAATCATATAAGACCTATATGTAGTTTGGTATATAAGGGGAGGGAATGAAGAGGAAGAATGAAACTAGAGATTAAATAGAGGTTTGAACACTGGCATTTGAACATTAGCAAGGAGTGACAGGCTCCGATTTGGCCTTCAGAAAGGTCATCATTGCAAGGAAGCCGATGGATGGCACCCTGGTGATTGGCTAGATAAGGAAGAAGTTCTGCAGTCACTCCCAGGTTTCTGGCTTGAGCAATGAGTGGGCTGGGGTGTCCCTGGCTCAGATAGGGCACCTTGGAAGAAGGCCAAGTTATGAGAGTGTGCAGAGTGAAAGGAGAAGATAGCTCAGGAAAGACGAACTTTGAGGAGCACTGACATGGGGGAGGTGATAGGAAGAAGAGCCAACCAAAATGATAGAGGAGAAACCATCAAAGAGATAGGAGGGGAATTGAGGACAGATATTTCCAAGAAGGGAGAGGCTGTGCATGTCAAATACTACAGAGAAACCCAGCTGGGGAGCTGAGGAGTGTCCTTTAGATTTGGCAGCTAATACGTTATTAGTGGAAACGGGAGATATGAGAGAAGCCGGGCTGTCCTGGGCAGAGGGAAGGAGAGGGGAGGCAGAGGGGAGTGCTGCTAGTCACTGAGGAGTTGAGCTGTGAGGGGGAGAGCAACAGAGCAATCGCTGCCGGGTCAGGAGAAGACTGGTTATTTTATCTTAACAGGATAACCTTGAGCCCATTGAGGCTTGCCAGGAAGGAGCGAGTAGGAGACAGGGGAAGCCTGGAGGCGGACCGGAAGTGGTGTGCGCTGGTGGGGTGGGGTAAGGAGTGGCACTGACCAGCCTGGGCCCCCTGGAGGACAGGGGGTGTCAGTACAGACCAGTTTACAGGGGTTAGGGGAGGAGAGGTTATTACATTCTTCAAAGTCCAAGGGCCTTTATTGATGGAGCGAAATCCTATTTGGTTTCATGTCCAGTTTAGCAACCTTCTGAATCTACTGAATAATTGATATTGCTTTAAACAATCAGCCCAAGTAAAAGCTATTCACCCAAGTAAAAGTTAACATTTAGGAATTTGACAAATTAAATTACTCCAAACATTTTAAACATGAATTACCAAAACAATGACAACAAAATAGGTAATGTCTAATATAGTGTTTTCTACGGGCCAGTCACTGTTTGACGTGCCTCACAGGTATACCTTCATATTCTCATGACCCCACCAGGAGGAAGGTACTATTATTATCACCTGAATCTTATTTTGAAAGGATTTGTCCAAGGTCACAGAGTTGGTAAGTGTTAGAGTTGGCATTTAAACCAAAATCCCAATAATCTCTACTACAATTAGATACTGTAATGAAAACAATGGCTGGTTTTTCTGAACATTTTAAACACCTTGAACAACTGGCAAAATATACACAAATAAAATACCCACAAAATATACATAAATAAAATTATTTCCAAATGTATCACATCTGTTTACTGGGTAAACTGAGGCTTCTTTGCAGTGGTTATTTTGCAATGATCTAAACTCTGTCTTTAAAGTACGAAACAAGGAGAGGAAACTTAAAAGCACCATGTAGAGGCATCTCTCATGTCCTTGTTCATTTTTGCCTTCATTTTCTGCCCCTCTGGGCACAAGGATGGATGATTGTCCTGCAGAGACCTGTCCATGATCAGAAGCATGATTTGACCCTCTGGATATCCTGTCTGTGTTGTCCCACTATGCTGCACACCTGGCCTATTTCAGGCTAGCCTAATTATCCTCGTCTTTCTGATGCTCGAACTGTGCCTGCCTGGCAGAAAGTGCTCGGCACTGCCCCTCAGCATCCTTGGGAGTTTTCTTGCTACCCCAGGACACGGAAGCCACTGCCATCCTGGGAATCTTATTTGCCTTGAGTGGGCAACTTCTTAGAGAGCACAGCCTCAGTGCTGGGCCACGTTTGGGCTGAGTGATGTCCTTCCGCAGCACAGTCCCAGGTGTGAAGGACTGCTGGCAGGTGAGGCAGAGAGATGAAGTATGCATTACAGGTCCTGGCAGTCCTTCTTGGTGTCTGCCTTCTGGGCCCTCCTGTCTGAGATGGAGAGGGGATGGCAGGATCCACCAAACTGTAAACCCATTCAGCACACCTGCTGCTGTGCTTTGAGCTCATCTGTTTACCTCTCTACTAAACCACAGGAGGGAAGCCCTGCTTACTCTTGGGGTTTACTGGCCAAAATCATGTGTGGCTTGGGGCACCGGAGGCTCCCATGGGCTCTGAGCTGCTGCCTTTCTCTGTACAATGTTTTGGGGCTTCTTTATCTCTAAGCACCTTGCACAGTGCTGGACACATTAATAGGTGCAAAATAAATGTTGTGAACCTACTCCTTGGATGAATTGATGAACTAACGCCCCCATCTTGTCAAAGGTGAGGCTTAGGAAACCTCATTTCCTCCAGTTATCCAGAAGAAACTGAGGCACAGACTGAAAACCCCTCCCCCATCCTTCTCTCCTGCCTAATATCAGACCTAGTATTTTTTCTCCAAAGCAAAATGGGTTAATGTTGTACCCTTCCAAGTCTCCCAGGAGACAGCACTGGATCCTGAGATAGGGGTTTGGGTCCTACAGACATCACTCCTTACTCTCCACCCTACCGAGCCCTGGGCCCTTTCTGCACCATTGGCTGTGGGCCAGTTGAAATTAACCAGCAGGGGCAGCGTTGAGGCTCTGAGCCCTGATTGGCTGCTCCAAGGTAGGTTCAAAAAGAAACAAGAGCTCTGACTTGGTCTTGGGAGCTCCCTGCCCTCCTCCAGGCTCTTGGAGGGGCAGTTGAATCATGAGCTGTCTGCCTGAGTCTGGTTGGCCTTCCTCCCAGGAAGACGGAGGCACATGGGAGGAAGAGAGATTTCTGAGGTTTCCCGCACAAGTCTCCCCAGAGCTCAACCTTCCTGCTGGGATTAGGGGTGGGCAGCTCAAGGTCCCCTGACTGGGCAGTCCATGGAGGAGGAGAAGCTAGGATGAGGAGTTGGGGGCCCAGACGCCTTGCTCCTCCCCTTCCCCATCAGCCAGGCCTTTGGGAATCTACCCCCATGTGCTGGGAGCACCAAACCTCAGAGGGCAGCATATGGAGGCACTGGCAAGAAACTCCATTTTCTTCAATGCTGATTGGGGTTTTCTCCAATAGCTACAATTTATCCAGCTCTCTGATGTGCGGGGAGCTGTGCTAAAGGCTTGCTGTACAATAGCTCATTCTACCTGCACAATCTCTCTGGGAGGCTGGATGTTATGGATAAAAAATCTGAGACTTTAAAGACATCTGGGAACTTACTCAAGGTCACACAGCTGTTAAGAGGCCAGATCCAACTGGTTTGACTCCAAAGCCTTTGGCTTAACCACACAACCCAACCCCCCCCCCACCACCACCACCACATACACACATACACAGTGAGGGACACACCCATAGGCCCAGGCCCTAAGACAGACCCTGCCATCAGCTGTCAGGCAGAGGCCCCGAACATCTGGCTCATCAGATAGGAGAGACCAAGAAGGGATGCAGCTCTTCCCAGAGGGCGGGGCTGCCCCCAAATCAGACCTCGCCCTTTTCTGTCCTCTCCTCCAGGACAGATGGAGAGAGAAGGGGCCCTCATGGGCACAGAAGGGAGACCTAGACCGACAGGGAGACCTAGGCACCCTGAGGAGGGGTGGGTCAGCCACAGAGAGACCCCAAGGGATGCATGTGAGAGACAAGACAGAGGGCGCAGATGGCAGCTGATCACCCCCAACTCCTTCCTCTCCCCTTCATGTGTACCAACAACTGTCTTGTCACACAGACACTCACTAGGGAATCGGCAGCACAAATTCTCTGGAATCTTCCCTTTACCCCCATCCTTCCTTTTCCCCCTTCATACCCCAGGCCAGGCCTAGCCCAGGGAGTGTGGTCCCGGTCAGTTATTACTGTTAAGGTGTGATGTGGAATTGCAGCTGTGGTGATACATATTTTACCAGCTCGTGGTTATTTTCAAATAAAGTATGCAGGAGAGGGGGTCTAGGGGAGACCCCTCCTTAATGCCAGGGTTCCAGGGGCTAGTTGCTCAGGGGCTCCAGAGTGTGTGACTCTAGACACAGCACCCCTTGTCCTCGCTCCTGGAATCAGGGGCCCTCTGAGCCCCCAGGGATACTGCCTGCCCCCCCACCCCCAACACACATCTACTTGCAAAAGATGCCACTCCATTATTCTGAGTATTTCAAAGGCCTGGGTGTGGAAGAGACAGAGCAGAGAGAGGCAGTGTTGAGAGGGTGGTTCATGGCCTGGATCGTCCGTGGTCAGCGCCTGTCCCACCTAGTTCTGAGTTCCTACTGGGTGCAGGCCCAGCTGGAGAGCAGAGGGTGACTGAGTGGCAGGGGGGCCTCAGGAGGGAAAGGAACACTGTGGTGGCGATCCCTGCAGGAGGAGCCCGAGAGGTGCTAGGCTGACAAGTCAGCAGAAGGGGAAGTGGCTGGACTGGAGGAGGCACTGGGCTCAATTTTTAAACATCTAGCTAGGTGAAGAGAGCTCAGTACCAGTACAGCAGGGCCTGGGATCCAGAGCAAGTTCACAGCCAAGCAGCCAGGCCAGGAAGTTGGCAGAAACCCAGTCAGAAGCAGGAAGCTGGACTTGGTCCCGAAGCTGCCAGGAGCTGCTGGGAGTGGAGCAGGGAGTGCAGGGCTGGTTGGGGACCTGCATCCTACCCTCAGTGAGAAGGAAGAGGCGACACTGTCCCCAGGTCCTCCATCCACACAGGGGTCCCCACGTGTGGGTCTCCCCATGCACACAGGACCAGGTATGCCAGCCACCTGCGGGTTCTCCTCCCCACCCCACAGGTTCTCTGCCCTCTCTGCTGCTGCCTGTGTGCCACAAGCTAGGCCCTTAGTGGATCTGGGACCGGAACCTGCAGCCCTGCCGGAGTCTGAGAGGCGCATGTGTACCGGCTTGACCACAGTACCAAAGAAAGCCATTTCCTTGAGGGTTTTCCCTTTCTGTCCCCATCCCAAGCTTTATGCCCTGGCTGCCTGTGTGTGAATTCTGTTCCATTTCCACTGCTTATGATCTGTGTGACCTCTGAGAAGTTATTCTCTCTGTGCCCCCACTTTCTTCAAGTATTGTGAGGATTCACTGAGAAGAGCCTGTAAGACAATATACCTTCCTGAGGGTGGTCTTTATAGCATGTGATTAAGACGTTTTGTAAGGATAAGGAAGCAGAGTCAGAGGTCGCTAGTTAATGGGGAAGAGATCGGGGACATGGCTTAGATTCCACGGGGACATGGCTTAGATTCCAGCCTCTCACTGGGCTGGGGCTCGCTCCAAGACTCAACTCTTCCTCATTTTGAAGCCCTGCAGTCTCCAGCGACTTGTGAGCCAGCGTAGAGCTGCTCTCTCCACCTGTGGGCTGTGCTTCACTGCTTGGAGACAGAGGTTAAACAGTGGGATTAGTGATAAATAAGATGACATGAAAAGGTGGGAAGATGGAGCCAGGAAATTACCTCAGAGGTGAGCATGGCAGGGGACAGGGATAAATATAATACTGTCAAATATTCTGCATCAGAGGGTCCCAAGTATTCCTCAAGATACCTCCTCCTGGAAGCCTTCCCTGACCACTTTGCTCTCCTATTGGAGAATTCCTGGGGCCTGAGAAGCTTCAGCTTAGCCTTGGCGAGCTGAGTGTTCCTGTTCCTACCTGAACAGGGCAGACCATCTGTGCATCATGGAGTCATTCCTAGAGAGCTTTCCCGTTTATTAACTCATTTAATCCTCCTAACAGCCCTGGGAGGGAAGACGATATGTTTATAACCTGGGCTCTAAGGTCCAGGAAAGTTTGAATGTCTTGCTCACAGAACCTTGATTGAGACTCACCTCCTGGCTCCCTGTTTCCAAGTCCCACACACTCGGTCCCCTACAGCACTTCTCCTGAGGCTGGGACTGCTCTGCATATATGATTTGAACTCTGCATTTCCTAGCAACTGAGGTGAAAAGAAAAACCCGATGAGTTAGGTAGTTCTGTTATCTGAAACAAAGAAAGCTGGGACTTCATCTGAAGTTCCAGACTTCTTCCTAGTGCTTAATTCCATGAGGAATGTATTTCATGGATTCAATATAATATCCTCGCCTAGTGACTTGCACAAAAGGTTACAGAAATGTCCCAAACAACATTTTCTTTAAAAAAAAATTTTTATTGAAATATAGTTGACATATAATATTATATTGGTTTCTGGTGTACAGCATAGTGATTTGACAATTATATGCATTACTAACTGCTTACCACTGTAAGTATAGTTACCACCTGTCAGCACACATCATTGACTATGCTGTATTTTCATCCCTGTGACTAATATATTTTATAATTGGAAGTCTGTACCTCTTAATCCTCTTCACCTATTTTGCTCATTCCCCACCCCTCTCCCCTGTGACAACCACCAGTCTGTTCTCAGTGTTTCTGAATCTATTTCTGTTTTCTTCTTGTTTCTTCATTTGTTTGGTTTTTTTAGATTCCACCTGTAAGTGAAATCATGTAGTATTTGTCTTTGTCTGACTTATTTCACTTAGCTTAACACCCTCTAGGTCCATCCATCCATGTTGTTGCAAAAGGTAAGATTTCATTCTTTTTTATGGCCAAGTAGTATTTCATTTTATTTACGTATCACATCATTATCCGTTCATCTATGGATGGACACTTAAGTTGTTTCCATATCTTGGCTATTGTAAATAATGCTGCGATAAACATAAGGGTGTATATATGCTTTTCAATTTGTGATTTTGTTTTCTTCAGTGATGTTTTCCAGATGTGGAATTACTGCCAAACAACCATTTCTGATGTTGAACCCATTAGAGACTAAAGGCACACCATAAATAAGAACTGGAGGTGGATTTCCCAGAGAAACAGCACTGACAGACTCCAGGTGATTGTTTACTGGCTTCTAACTTGACCTAGGGTGTGGCTGAGAGATCAGAGGAGCCAATGCGTTAAGTAGAAAGAGTAGAGAGAGCTCTGGAGCCACACAGATCAAAGTTCAAATCTTGGGCCTCTTGCCTACTGTGTGACCTTCCATGAGTTACCTAATCTCTCTGAGCCTCATTTTTTCCATCTGTAAAATGGGAATGACAATGCATTCTTCAAACAATTATTGTGGAGTCATTCAATCATTCATTCAGTAAAAATTAAAAGCCTGCCTATGCGAGGCACTGTGCTAGGCTCTGGAGATACAGTGATGGAAAAGCCTAACAAGGAACTTGCCCTCATGGAGTTTAGAGAGAGACAATAATAAGCAAACAATTAAACAGGAAACTATTAGCTGGTAGAAAAAAGCAGAGTATTTAGCAGGTAATGTGATTCTGGCTGAGATTATTGGGTGTCCTCTAATTTCCATTCTCCTTTTCTTCCTGTGTAATAGAACTCTGGACACATGATTTTCCAAAATAAAGACTGTATTTCCCAGGCTCCCTTGCAGCTAAGCGAGGCTGTGTGACTAAGTCCTGACTAACGAGCTGTAAGCAGAAGCAGCCTCCAGGAAATGTACTTAAAGAGAAAGGGCACATCTGTCTTTACCCATCCTCCTTCCTGCTGGCTGGAATGCAGAGGTGATGGCAGAAGCTCAAGCAGCCATATTGAACTATGAAGAGAAAGCCACCAGCTGAAGACGCCATAAGATAGAAGGCACCTGGGTGGACTCCCTCACACTGTGGAGCACCATACCAGCCTAGGGCCTCCTACCTCCAGGTTTTACATCAAAGCAAAGTAAACTCCTGTCATGCTTAAGCCACTGTATGTGTGTTCTCTCACACAGCCCACCCTGATTTTCCTTGACACAGTGATAGAGTGGCTGGGGATTATCTCTAAATGGGTGGTCAAAGAAGGCTTTTTGCAGTGGTAACATATAATCTGAGACCCAGATGGTGAGAAGGAGCCAGCCTCAGGGAGACTGAGGTGGAGCATCCAGGCGGTACGGGGAGAGAGAGGCAGGAGTGGTGCTGGTACCTTCACGGGGCAGAACGAGCAGGGTAAGCAGAGGGCATGGGGGTTACTCCACGGGTGGGGAAGTCATGGAGGATTGTACACAGGGGGTGATGTCTTCTGATTTGTTTCTAAAGGTCACTCTGAGTGCTGGGTGGCACCTAGGGCCCAAGTGAAGCCAGAAGATAAGTGGGAGGCTCCTGGATGATTGGGGAGTGACACGGAGGGGGACATGAAATGGAAGGGGCTGGCCTGGCTCATTCGTTAGTGCCGTTCCAGTTCCATCCCACCCCCTGCTACCGACTCTCCCACCCTCTCCTCCCTCATCCCTTCCGGACTATGACTGGTCTATTCATAGTGTGCTGGGGCTACTGCCCACTTCCATTACCCCAGCCTGCTCTGCACCCCCCAGCTCATGCTGGACCTCACACCTCTGCACCCTCCACCTAGGGGGCCTTGCTCCCTCTTCTCCTGACAAACTTTTCTAAGACTGAGCTCAGAAGACTGCCTGGGGACAACTCTGCTTCCCACATCACTGTCCCCTGGCCCCCATCCTTTGTTCATACCCCTGTCATCTCACTGTGAGGTTACTGTGTGCCGCACCCGTTCTCCCCACGGGACGGGAACTCCTTGGGAGGGATGCTGCGTGGTCCTGGCCACCTGATGCACAGGCAACATTCAGACCCCACGGTTCCTTCTTCCCACTCAAAGCTCAGCCCCTTCCCTGCATCCAGAGCAGATTACGTTCTCAAGCTCCTTCCCAGATGCCATCCCATTTGGTCTTCACAACAGCCCAGAGAGGAAACCAAGTGTGAAGAAGAGTGAAGAGAGGGTATTGCTAACTCAAGGTCACTTGGCCCACTGGCAGAGCCTCCTGCCCCAGAATGGCCCTGTTGTGGGGTCCTTTCCTTTACTGCAAAATCCCAGGGTCTGAGTCCCCAATCCATGAAGGCACAGGGAGTCATATATTCACCAGGGAATACTGAGGAGCCCCTCCCTGTCACCTGGCCAGACCCCGTCCCCTCTGCCAGCCTCTGTGGGTCACCCCATGCCATCTGGACAACCACTCACCTTAGCTGCCACTACAAACCATAGCCCGCTTTGCCTGAGCGGGGGCCCCGACCCTCCCTCAAGTCCAGCAGGGGAACCGTCCAGCAGGGCTTTGCTGGGAACTTGAGGAGAGCGGCCAAGACTCCCCACTGAGCACCAAAGAGCAGGTGTGAGATTAGGAGATGGGTCTGACTTCCGTGGTCATAGGCCCAAACTGTTCCAACCCAATGCCTCATTGCCAAGCCCATTGCAAGGGACAGCTTATCTAGTCACCATGAAATGCCCCTTGCCCCCAGAGTCTAAGCCTCTTCTCCTGTAGGCCTCTCTTCCAAGGCCCACTCCCAAGTCTTCACGGAGGACTGACTGCAGCATGATTGAAATGAGAAAGTCTCATCTTTTCAGGAGAATGCCACCCTCTGCTCACAGGTTCTTCCTTTGGGACAACCTGTCTCAGCCCACGGTCTGGACTGTGTGGTCTGGAATAACATCGTATGGGGGGTGAAACCAAATCACTAGAGTGGCTTCTGCAGGCCCAGCCTGGGGCCCCATCCTCAGCTCACCTCCTTCCAGATGGCATCTGCCCTTGGCTGCCAGCTTTCTATGAGCACAGACTTGGACAAGGACACCCAGGGGCCTTGGGCCTTGGGGAGGGAAGCCTGGTGGCTCCTCCCTTGATGATCTAGGAAATGGCAGGGTAGGGGGTTGGCAAGAGGGACTCCACGGGAGGAGGGCAGGCTGTGCTGGGTGTGGCCATTCAGGATACCCTCTCAAGGCATCCAGGGGCTCTGCTCAATTCCTCCAAATACCAAGCTTTCTGACCATGTCTGCCCAGCCCCGAGGCGTGGCTAAAGGGAGCAAGGACTCTGTTTCGTCTTGTTTCCTCAGCATCCAGCCCAGTGCCAGGCACATGGGGTCTTCAGCTGAATTAAACTGGCTCAACTCCGAATTGGAATGAAATGAGTGAGAGGAGCCTTCACTTCTTCCCGGAAAAGTGAAAACATGGAAAATGTGCTGTTGGGCAGATTTGGGGAAACATCCACAGTCAGTCAGGGCAGCAAGAATGACCTAGAACATGTGGAGTGAGCAGAAAGGGCCAGATGCAGGCCTGCTCTGCTGCTGTGTGGGTATCTGGTGGTCTGCCAGGGGGTGGCACCTGTAGAGCAGCCAAACAGCTGGACAGATTCTCCTCCGAAGCCAGATGTTTCCGTCTGTTGCCCCTTCAGCGCTCCCCACCCAGCTAGCTGCCAGTGCTTCTGGGCCCCAGGAGAGGGGCTACACTGCGGCCTCCTGCACTCAGCACCTCTTGGCTCCTGGAACAGGCAATGGAGCAAGGCGCCTGGGCCCTAAGGCTGTGGAGGGAGGCAGAGCCTTCACTTGGTACTTGCTGGCAGCTGCCACAGGCCACAGCCCAGTCTTGAACTTGGGACAGATTCCATCAGCCTGGAGAGTGAGCACCAATCCTGGAGAGACTGGAGGCGTCTCCCAGCCCCTTCAGCAGGGGCCTCTCTATCCCCACTGGCCTGACGGCCAAGGGCGGCACCAGGGAGCACAGGGCTTAGCATCAGGCAGGATGCAGGCCTAAGTCCCTGCTCCCACCCCACCGGTCACCCAGCTCTCCACCCCGGCTCCCTCAGCTGTAAGAAGCAGATAATAACAATAAATGATGCCTTCTTCAGAAGGCCTTGGAGAGCTCAGAGGGGTGAGCTGCGTGAAGAGCTGGGCACAGTGCCTGCACCACCCAGTGCCCATCCACAGTTGTTCTTTTTACTGGGAAGCCACCATCCCTCTCCGTCATGTTCGTTTTCTCCCCTGTAAAATTAGGAGGCTATAAGGAACAAGTGCGACCACCAGCACAGCGGCTGGCACCCAGGATTCCAGGTCTGGGTACCAGATGCCCCCTTCTCTATCTGCCAGGGCTCGGCACATAGTGTGGGCCTGTGGTCAAGGCCCCGGAAATGGTGGTGGGCTTGCTGGGTATGCCCATCTCCCTGTCCTTGAATCTGAGTTTCTATTGTTTGCATCTGAAGCAGGGGATCCCCAAGCTGGTGGCCACAGAACTGGGCATTCCCACTTTATAGATCAGAACACTGAAGCCCGGAGAGGGCCCCACAGCCAGTCAGTGTTAGAGCTGAGCTAGGATGCTTTTCTCTCTCAATGCCCAGAGCAACGTCCACAAAACTCTATTTCTGTCTGTTTTAAAACCTGTCTTCATTCTTGTTGATCTGAACTCATCTTTCAGTCTCTGCTTCTTTAGCAACCAGAGACCAAGAATAGGTGACAGGCCCCAGCCCTCCCCTTCCCCTAGCAGAGACTGCCCTGCTGGGGAATGGGGGGGCACATGGTGCAGGCTAAGGATGTGGGGCTGCTCTGGCCACAGAGCCAGTGTGCCCAGACAGTGGGGCTTCATGAGCTCTGAGCTCCCTGTGGGACAGTTGTTTTTGTTGACCTGATGTTGTTTCAGGTTGACTGAGTGGCAGCATCTTAGAGCCAGGGGCCATCTCTTTGGAGGCACCCAGGGTCTTGTGGAGAGGGTAGCTAGGGCACCCTAGTTTGGGGCAAGAAGGGGAGGGGCTGCCTGGGTCCCAGAGCACTGAGCAGATCCCTTGGGCAAGGCTGCAGAGGAAGAGCCCTGAGGGAGGACACTGAGACAGAGAGAGAGAGAAGGAGGCATCTTGGGGCCAGAGCAGAGGACCCTGGCCTGAGGGAGGATGGACAGAGGCGGGATAGGGGCTTCCAGAGGCTCTGGCAGACCTGCTAGGAGGCTGAGAGCTCCAAGAACCCAACCACCAAACCGTAGCCCATGAAGAACACCCAGCAGACTCCTAGGGATCAGAGGGCCAAGGGAAGTCTTGGGGGCTGGCCAGCTGGGGTGGAGTGGGCCAGACTCACAGCTGTCCAGATGTGCATGAGAGATAACTCTGTTTACTAGGCACCCAGAGGGAGCAGGGCGGGAGGTGAGAAGGGGCTCCTGGGGGCCATGGGGCGAGCAGATTAGCAGGCGGGGGCATGAGTCAGGGGTTTGCAAGCTGCCCCTGGGGTGCAGGAGCAAGGACCTGGCGCTGTTAGAGCGGGTGTGAGCTCAGATGGGCACAGAGGGCACCAGTGGCAGCTGCAGGAGTTCACTGAGGGAACCCGAGGCTCGTGAACAGGTGAGCAGGGCTGGGCAGCACTGGGGTGGTCCTGTGGCACCTGTCCTGAGGGTTTCTGCAGGTGCCCAGCCTGAATCTATGCCCAAGTGGTCAATTGTAAGGTCAGGAACCTGACCTCCCAGGGGTTGTCCTGGTAAGTAGGGTGAGAATTTTAAGATGTGCATTGTTACCCCTAAGGGCACCAGCCCGTAGGCACCTGCAGCTGGGGAGAGCCAGGGTGTAGATGTTAGGAAAAAAAAAGCCAGCAGAGGTGTATATAGCTGGTGTGTGAATTGGAGGGAACAGGGGACAGGCAAATCTGATCTCTCTCCATGTGTGGGTCCTTGTCAGGCTCCCACTGACCAGCCCCTTGAAGCCCACAGACTCAGGCCTCACGCTACATGTACAGAGTTACCCAGGCCACCTCGCTCCCTCCTAGGAGGGAAGCTGTCAGCTGACCCTGCTGCCCATCTGGGATACTTCCAGGGAGTCTACTAGGGAGACCTGGCGCTGTCCCCATCCTAGGGAGTGTTTAGCAGGAAAGAAGGAGTCCTCCGCCACCTGAGGGTCTCAAAGCACTTGGCGAATTCCATGGGAATTGAAGGAACATCAGAG